AATCTGTCCCTTGAACATGTTGACAGCAAATGACTTGGATTCCTGTGGAAAAATACAAAATTATCAAGATTAAAGCTGGTAAGCAAATTTTTAAAATGTCGCAAAAAGGGAAAAAAATAAATAAAAGGGAACGTACAGCAGCAACTGATTTCTTTTCCACTTTAGCTGCAGTGTCGCTCCCGACCGCTGCTGGCTTCTCCAACACAGCCTGTTGAGAAATAAAGATTTAGCAAAAGAAGCATTAATACAATAAGTTCTTGTTTTACTACAAATAATACTCTGATTATGTTTGCTTTGGTTTTTCAAAATAAAACCCTCCTCACGTTCACCAAATTTTCTTTGAACTTAAGTTTTTTTTTTGCATAAATCTGTGCTTCTGAATGCATCTATGATTTAAAAAGAAAATAAAAAAGACAACAGTTTTACCTTGTTCACACTAGTCTTTGACTTATAAAATAAAATAACATTAATAAAATAGTTGTAGGGAAAATTGGTTATCCCATTTTTATTTGTAATTGAAACTTTTATAAAACACATCAGAACATAAAAAATAACCATTTTAACAGGTCAGTAGAGAGTTTTAATTTTCACCTTGCCTTTAACTTAGCTAATATTTGAAAGTGACTTATTACTATTTATATATATAAATGGCTTAAACCAGACCTCAACATTTCCTGTCGAGGTAATTATTTTACAAGTTATAAGTTGTTCAAACAAACCCAGCTCAGATAAAAAGATGTAACATTACAGAATTTGATTACTGTTGACTTTATGTGAGATAAAGCAGAGTTTGTTTTGTTGTGACCTACAGCCTGGAAACCTGTAACGTCACCTTTAATAACCGAGTCACGTGACCAGTGAACTTTACCCCACTTCAATAGATGTTGGGAGGGAGGGGGCTGATCTGTCATCCTGACACATCTGACACAGAACATTCAACAGGACATAACGTGATAATTATTAAGCATATTATTTTTTAATTATACTTTAACAAGCTCTTACCGAAGCAGCTTGACCGGCGTAAAGACGAGCATTTGTTACAGAAAGCACAACCCCGGCCTGACGCTGACTCCTGCAAACAACAATCAATGAATAAATGATTTATGCTCTTTAAAAAWTTAAAACAAAGCTTCAAAAAAATTAAACAAAAATTCCAAATCTTGCTCACCCTGAGAGGACCAGAGGAGTCCTGAGAATGGAGGCGCACAGCGCGGAAGACTGGCTCACCTTCCGAAGCAGCATTTTGTTTTTATTCTGTTAACAAAATTAAAAGCAATTAAAAGGATAATAACTTAAACAGGTAAGCAATTATCTGAAAGGCGGTTAAGTTTCGACACGAGCTGGTCGTAGTTATTTAACGACGTCGGTTTCCTAACTTGACCCGGTTTGCCTCTCCGTACAAAGAGGTCCGAGGACATTTAAAMACTTCGGCTTCGTTCGTTTAAACAYCACAGGGWCAAATTAAGTGACAGACAAGTAAATAAATTGAAAAACGTCTCCCTTACAGAGTTGTTACGTAGTCTCAAACGCCGCTAAGCTAGTTCTGATTCCTCCTCAGCTGCCTTTTTTTTTTTTTCCTGCTTCTTCTTCTGGTCAGAAATCGCTGAAGACATTTTGTTATAGCTTCGAGTTTAGCGCCCCCTGCTGTCTGCCTGTAAAACGACTCCTTGTAGGAGCCCCGGTGCATCATGGGACCTGTAGTTTAATACAAAATAACTACGTATTCGTATTTTCTACCATTTATAACTGTCAGCTACGGAAGCGTATTGCTATCACACAGGAAAAAAAAAAATCCAAGCGCTAGCTCGGATTTTTTTTTTCCTGTGTGATAGCAATACGCTTCGTAGTCAGCTCATGCAGGACACGGGGCTGTGATTTATTCACTTTTGAAATTTCAAAACTTTTTAACAGGTTAATTTTATCTACAAATACAAACCTTAGGAATACATTGGCAAAAGTCAAAAACATTCTTGAAGCATGCTTGATTTTTTGTGTGCTGCTAGACCAGTTTTAGCTTCTTCCATGTGCATCATGGGATTTGTAGTTCAACACAAATGAAAAACTTGTATTTTCCCTCTCATTATCCCCCCCCTTTTTTTTTTTTTTTTTTGCCCAGGAATGTTTTTGAGATCCTCCAGGAGAATTAGTAGTGTCACTGAAAGTAGAGAAGTCTTCATTTCCCTCCTGGACCTGTTCCCTTCACATGAGCATAAATAAGCAGAAAAAATAAAACAAGGGAAAAAAAAGAAAAACAGATGGATGACTCTTTCTCATTCAAATAACCAAATCTGAGCAGTAAGCTAGTATCAAATTTATTCTCAA